TTGGCACGTCGTTATGTCAGGAAGCAATGTCCTTTTATGAAGACATGATCTGCTGTTGGTTTCTGCTGTATGTAGTACCCCTTTGAGCGAGCAGAGAAGTTCAACCGTGGCATCAGGAAGCTGGGTCTTACTCCGGATGCTCAGAGCTACCTGGATCAGTTCAGACAGCTCATCAGTCAGATCGGTAAAGTTTGTCTAGAGCAGGGGTGGCGAACGTCGGTCCTGGAGAGCCCTGCAGAGTTTTGCTTCAACCCTAATCAAACACACCTGAACAAGCTAATCAAGGCCTGAAGGGTTACTAGGAAGCTACAGGCAGGTGAGTTTTAATTAGGGTTGGAGCTGAGCTCTCCAGGACCGGAGTTCGCCACCCCTGGTCTAGAGGTTTTTAGATGCATCTGGGAACTCTTTCCTTTTGTAATGTTCTCAACTTCATAATGTGCATGCTGGGATGCTTAAGGCTGAATGATTTGTCAAGGAAAAGACACAGAAATGCAAAGGTCTTCACAACAAAGCAGCAAATTCAAAGTTGAAAAAAGTATATATAGTTGTATTTAAGAATTAAATTAATAAATGTTAAAAAAAATTTCTCCTTCTCTTTCCATTCTTTTCTTTCTTGCAGGCAATGCGATGGGTTATGTGCGCATGATTCGGTCCGGAGGGCTGCATTGCTGCAGCAGCGCTATCAGGTCTCATACAAAGATTAATTGACTGAGACATTCAGATCGTGGTAATACTAGATAAATAATAACAGTCTTCTCACACAACACTTAGAGCTAAATGAGACACATATGGTATGAACATTATAAAAATCGTCCTACAGAAGTCCTCCGAACAACCAAGACATTAGCAAGCTACTCACATTCAAACATGTTCCAGGTTTGTTCCTGATCTAGAGGACATCGTTAACTTTGAGGAGCTTGTTAAAGAGGAAGGCCTTTCTGAAGAGACGCAGAAAGCCGCCAGGTACTGTAATTCATAATGTCAGTCAATAAGCGTCTTTGCTGTCAGACAGGGAATTAATAATAATAATAGTAATAATAATAATGTGAATAAATAAAACAACAATAACAAATACTTCAAATACTAAAACAATAATAATAATAATAATGTGAATAAATAAAACAACAACAATAATACTGCAAATACTAAAACATAATACTAAAAACAACAATTATAATAAATAACGACATTAATAATAAATAAAATACATACAATACAACAGTAATCACAACAATAATATACACAACAACAATAACATTAAACAATTAGTAATTATTATTGGTAGTTATTGTTATTGATTCGAAAGCATTGTTAATAATAACAATAATAATAATAATAATTATTATTATTAAAACATACCAAAAATAACAATAAACAATTAGTAATTATTACTATTAGGTTTATTATTTATTAGTTATTATTAATAAGCGAACAAACAAACATTAATAGTAATAGTAGTAGTAATATTAATATATCGGTGTTAAAAAATAAATACAACAAAAATTGATGATGATGATTCTTATATCAATAACAATAATAATTTGTATTATTATTATAAATTATTATTAAATAATTCATTCTAAAATATAAGTTATTATTGTTAAAACATACAAAAATAACAATAAACAATTAGTAATTATTATTATTAGGTTTAGTATTTATTGGTTATTATTAATAAATGAATAATAAAACATTAAAGGTGACATATCGTGAAAATCTGACTTTTCCAGGTTTTAAGTGCTATAATCAGGTCCCCGGTACATCTACCAACCAAGGAAACGTGAAAAAGATTAACCCAGTAACGTTGTTTTGGAAAGCCTTTTTCTGCAAGCGTCTGAGAAAACGAGCGCGTCTGATTTCGCTCCCTTGGTGACGTGGCAAAGGGATCTCATTATAATATTACCGCCCCTTAATCTGTAAGTTTCCACCCACAGTGGTCTCATACAAAGATTAATTGACTGAGACATTCAGATCGTGGTAATACTAGATAAATAATAACAGTCTTCTCACACAACACTTAGAGCTAAATGAGACACATATGGTATGAACATTATAAAAATCGTCCTACAGAAGTCCTCCGAACAACCAAGACATTAGCAAGCTACTCACATTCAAACATGTTCCAGGTTTGTTCCTGATCTAGAGGACATCGTTAACTTTGAGGAGCTTGTTAAAGAGGAAGGCCTTTCTGAAGAGACGCAGAAAGCCGCCAGGTACTGTAATTCATAATGTCAGTCAATAAGCGTCTTTGCTGTCAGACAGGGAATTAATAATAATAATAGTAATAATAATAATGTGAATAAATAAAACAACAATAACAAATACTTCAAATACTAAAACAATAATAATAATAATAATGTGAATAAATAAAACAACAACAATAATACTGCAAATACTAAAACATAATACTAAAAACAACAATTATAATAAATAACGACATTAATAATAAATAAAATACATACAATACAACAGTAATCACAACAATAATATACACAACAACAATAACATTAAACAATTAGTAATTATTATTGGTAGTTATTGTTATTGATTCGAAAGCATTGTTAATAATAACAATAATAATAATTATTATTATTATTATTAAAACATACCAAAAATAACAATAAACAATTAGTAATTATTACTATTAGGTTTATTTATTAGTTATTATTAATAAGCGAACAAACAAACATTAATAGTAATAGTAGTAGTAATATTAATACATCGGTGTTAAAAAATAAATACAACAAAAATTGATGATGATGATTCTTATATCAATAACAATAATAATTTGTATTATTATTATAAATTATTATTAAATAATTCATTCTAAAATATAAGTTATTATTGTTAAAACATACAAAAATAACAATAAACAATTAGTAATTATTATTATTAGGTTTAGTATTTATTGGTTATTATTAATAAATGAATAATAAAACATTAAAGGTGACATATCGTGAAAATCTGACTTTTCCAGGTTTTAAGTGCTATAAGCATAATATGTCTCCTTTAATAGTAATTGTAGTAGTAATATTAATAATACATAAATGTTAAATAATAAATACAAAAACATGTATTATGATGATACTTATGTTAATAATAATTTGTATTATTGTTATAATTATATAAATATCAATAACAATAATAATTTATTTTGTTATAAATAATTATTAAATTTATTTTAAAATATCATTATAATAATTATTAATATATAATGTTATAATTATAATAATTATTATTATTGTTATAAAATAAATAGTAATTTATTTTTTATTTCAGCCAACTGGACTGTGTACTTAGTGACCTGACCAGTAACTCGGCTGAAGGAACTGAGTACTTCAAGATGCTGGTGGGGGTTTTCGCGTCGGAGTTTCGCAGCGTCAAGAACATGCACTTGAGGAACTTCTACATGATAGTTCCTCCTCTGGTGGGTCTTCAGAATCAGATCTTGGATGTGGAAATCTCTTGCTAATTGCGGCATCTCTTGCATAACGTTCATCTTTCTTCTCCCTCACAGACGGTAAATTTCGTGGAACATTCCATCAGCTGCAAAGAAAAACTAAACAAGAAGAACAAAGTGGGAGCTGCGTTTACAGACGATGGTTTCGCCATGGGTACATGTTTAATACAGTTATAAAGCTGATATACGTTCTTTTCATGGGCTAAATATTCAAATACCTTTTGTGTGTTTTCCAGGAGTCGCCTACATCCTGAAGCTTCTGGACCAGTATCAGGAGTTTGACTCCCTCCACTGGTTCCAGGCTGTGAGGGAAAAGTATGTGAAGGAAATGAATGCGGTGGTGAAGGAGCAGAACGTTCAGTCCACCAGCCAAGACGAGAAGCTCATGCAGACCATGAACCTGACGCAGAAGAGACTGGACGTATATCTGCAGGTATGGGAGCATCTTCATGATCTTCAACACTGATGGCCAATGGCTTTGTTTTATCACATCTTCTTTCCGTTTGTAGGAGTTTGAGCTGCTCTATTTCTCTCTGAGCAGCGCTCGGATCTTCTTCAGAGCTGATAAAACGGCAGCCGAGGAGACCCAGGAGAAGAAAGACAGAGGTTGGTTGATGGATCCATGATCTCTAGAATATTTTATGGTGACTTTTAGCACCACAAACACTCATTTAATCTCTCTTTTCAGAGGAAGAACTTGAACTTGCCAAAACTGGTCCAGGTTCCTCAACGATCGAGGGCTCTCCTGGGGAAAGCAGGGCCAAGTGAAACTACAAAGGATCTTGAACGATATAAATCACTTGAACAGCATGGACTCACTCCAGATGAGGTTATAAACATTGACCCTTCAGCCACCGTACTTCTGTTGGAGTCTGTACAGCTGCTCAAACTCATTTTGGCGCTTCGCCACCTGCACTGGTTCGACTGGAACTGACTGTGGATTTGGACCAACGCTTCGGTTTTAGATCATGATTGTTTTATGTATCGACAACGATGTTCAACAACTGTTATGTCAAGCATTATGCGCTCATGTAAATTCAACAAGTGTGATTGGTAGATGGTGTCTGTAGTTTTTTTTTTTTTCTTAAAGGGTTAGTTCACCCAAAAAATGAAAATTCTGTCTTTAATTACTCACCCTCATGTCGTTCCAAACCCGCAAGACCTTCGTTCATCTTCGGAACACAAATGAAGATATTCTTGATGAAATCCAAGAGCTTTCTGACCCTGCATAGATAGTACTGCACGATGAACGAAGGTCTTACGGGTTTGGAACGATATGAGGGTGAGTCATTTTTGGGTGAACTAACCCTTTAATGTCCTACTGATTGTTAGGAACAAATATTTTTATAGGATAAAACTGGCCTTTAGGATACAATTTTTTTTTAGCTAAAGAAATTTAAAAAGAAATTCAAAGACCTAATTATATTTCACCCAAAAATTGAAATTTTGTTGTGTCATTTCAAACCTGTATGACTTATTTTGCAGGACACAAGATTATATATATATATTTTTGTTTATTTTTTTTAACAATGAACCAATAGGGACCAATAGGGTTATTTTGGACCCCACTGACCATTTTGTCCCTCAGAAGGAAAGTCGTACATGTTTTGAATGACAAGAGGGTGAGTAAACAATGTCAGACTTTCCATTTTTGGGTGAACTTTCCTTTTAAAGTTGAATTATGTAAACTAGAATCATTTTTTTCCGTCAAGATTACTAATTTACTTCATGCATGATTTTCTGCCCAAAACTCATTCAATGCCATACTTTTTGATATGTGAAATATGTAGCACCGTAAGCACACTAACATATTCTGTTTAGTCCATTTGTGCTCCCTAAGATATATCGCAATGTGTCCGACAGTAAAAAATGCATCAATTCTCCTTGAGCACTGTGGAGGAAGTTGAATTGCACTTGCCTTAAAGCTGCTGCTGTTACAGTAACGAAGCATGTCTGTTGACGTGAACTGGAAAAAGCACAGCTTCAGGATTAGTCATGCATTACAGGCACACACACACAACATGCTCGTACCGAACATCCCCTTCCCATACAGAGTCCAAACACTGGTTCAGGAAAGCCGTTCTGCTTTATTACAAAGAAAGGGAGCTTTAAAGGTGGTCAGAAAATACAAGATTGGTCTGTTTTTCGTACTATGGGGTTTCCCTTTCCTACGAAATGCTTCTATTCAAATAGCTGCAGCTGAAATGTCTCCACCTCCTTGTTTTGTTTTTTTTCTTTTTCCCGCAATACAGATGTCCTCGCTCGGGCCTTCCTTGTCGCCTTAATTCGTTTAGTTGAATTGGTCTTTAAGTGCACAGGGTAACAAACGTGATTCCCCCGTCTGGCAGCTTAACATACTGTTCACTAATTTTTTTTTTGTCTTTTGCGTTTTTTGCTTCTACCACATAATGCCATTTCTGTTCACCTCCTAAAAACGAGGTCAAGCATAGGTACTTCTTCCAAAATAGACGCCATGTATATATATATATATAGATACATCTATCTATATATATCATGTATATACACATTCATACATACATATCTTTATTCATGTGATGTCAAAAAATTAAAAAAATGTACACGTTTATTACAAAATCGTAACAAAGACTGAAAAGGGTTCGTATTCATTCTGGAACATTGTTTCTCGGTAAGCTCACAACCGCCTGGTCCACGGGTTGTGCCCAACAACGGTCACTGAAACAGTCTGATTGGGATTTATTGACGCCAAGCAAGAAACACCTCACCGGATGAGCGAAACGGGAAATGAAAGAAAATAGGGGAAAACGAAAAGAAAAAAAAAAGCACCTCCTTGATGTTAATGACAGGGAACCGTCCTTCCAGACGACGACGGGAGTGGAGCGAGTTTTCCCACATTAAAAAAAAAAGCAGAAAACAATTTTTGTGTTCTTTTATTACTAAATAGTGCAACAATGAACATTGCATTTTCTTTTGCCCTTGTGTATTCACATGTATTGGATTTGTCTTTGTCTTTGTCCTGTTTGTTAGCGCAGCGCACTTCGGAAAACAAAGCGCGAACTGCGTTTTTCTCTTGAATACCAATGGATGAGTTTGTGTGCTGTACTGCAACTTCAAAGACTCCAGGCAAACACCAAAAGGGGCTTTCCATCAGAGGAGTAAACAAAACATTGACCCTGCTCGAAATGAAATGGAGGGAGAAGAAGAAAAAAAACGTAAGAGGGGAATTTAAAAACAGAATGAAAATATACAGAAGTTTTGTGTTCGGGCAGCACATAATTTGTAAGGCAGGGCCCCTCCCCCCAGTTCTCAAGGTGGAGACCCCCGCCGCCCCCCTCCCCCTCCCGCAGTCCTAGTCCAGAAGTTGAGGAATAAAACCAGGTTTTTTGTGGTCAGGCAGGTCGGCTGTCTGTCTGTTGCCGCTGACGGACTCGGCTTCAGAAGGCCTGCTGGGCCGGATTGTAATTGAAGGTGGTTGGCACGTGAGGCCGCTCCTCTAGCTTGTCGTATTCCAGGTGAAACTCCTGAGAGACCAGAGAAAAGCACAAAGCTGATGTTCACTTGCATGTATACAACATACACTTCACTTGAACGTTCAGTATAGTGATGACATTATATATTTACTAGGGATGCACGATATTAGATATTTGCCGATAGCCGATATTTTCCGTCTCATTTTGGCCGATACCGATATATTTCCTTTTGTTTGAAAACAACAACAAGTCTCTCCTGTGCAGAAATTATAAGCAAATTATTTTTAATTTTGGTTAGTTTTTAACTAACTTATTTGTTAGAATTAAATAAACAATAATGAAGTTCTTTTATAATGACAGTACATTGAAGATTTGAAAATAACTATAAATAAACATATCGATCGCTGCTTTTTTTTTTTTCCAGAAAGATGCAGTGGTAACCTTAACATTTTATTTTAAGATTTAACATTTGTAGATGGTCTAAAGCAAAAGAGTTGTAAAAATTCTGAAAATCTTTGAGAGCTCATTTGTTTAAAAAATATAACATATTACACATTAATAAATCAGTAAATATTAAATTATTTAAGTGTCATGTTTGTGATTTTTTTTTGTTTGTGTAAGCTATAGATTCTGACCTTTAAATCAAAACATACTCATGATTTTATGGCACTAATTACTGCTTTATTTAATCAGAAACAGTCTAAATATTATTTGTGTATTTTGCTTCATTTTATTAGAAGTAGGCCAGCCACGCCCCCTACGGAATTAAAACTCCTTACTGAGCGGGCATTACGTGCGATTACTGTCGACTCTATCACACACTAAGCATGTCATTCTGTATGTGCATTCACAGTTTAAATGCAGCGATCCAAAAGAGTGAATCTAATCACCATTCAGGCAAAACTTTGCTTCAAGAATGAGCCACACTGCTGACTTGATCTAATCGCTAGCACACCCTGAGCACATGTGAGTTAACGTATTCCTCTTATCGGCAAGACATATCGGCATAATTTTTCATATCGGGCCGATGCCGATATTTACATTTAAAGTCATTATCGGCCGATTCCGATATTGGTCCGATAATATTGTGCATTCCTAATATTTACATTATCAGCATCAATAGGTAAGTGTGACCGACTGGTCAATTAAGTAGGTGCAGGTTATTGGTTTTCAAGTATTTTCTAATAAATATTGAGCAATTTTCACACTGCACCTGACCTCATTTTTTGTTGTGAACATGTTCATACATTCAAGAAAGAAAAAATAGGATACTTTTAAACAGCTATTTAGAGGGTCATTGTCCGTTACGAAGGCATAAAAATTGTGATTAAATTTAAGCAAATATCTATGAATGATTATTTAATAAAATAAAATTAATTAGAATTGTATTATACATATCTCATATATATATATATAAATATAGAGAGAGAGAAAGAGAGAGATATTTAAACAAATTAAAAATAATTTAATAATAACAAATTTCTAATATAAATTAAACATTTGACATTTTTATAATTTTTGTAACATACATGTATAAAAGTCTAATCCATAATATTTATGATAATCTGCAAAAAAAGTCTAAATTCTAATAAATACTAATATTTTAAAATATCATTTTTTTCAATGTATATGCTGTATAATTTTATATAAGAATTACTATATTTTAACATTTTCAAAATTAATATTTTCAAAATTAAGTTTTGAGAGATTTTGTGTATGTTGATTTAAGCATCTTGCTCTATAGATATTGTATGATATTGCAGAGATTATCATATTTATAAATTCACATTGGTCACCACTATTACGGACATTGTGTGTCATTACTATAACAGTCATTCTGCTGCTCCAAGATACCTACATGGGTTTGAGATACTGACATCAGAAAAAAAAAAAAACACAATGGCACAAACCAGATGTTAGGTTTAATCACACAGGTGAGTGATTATCAGCAAGTGTCTGTAGCTGTATAAACGAAAAAGGTGGAGGAAGAGGTCCCTCAATTCAGTATCTTTACCTTAGCGACCTTCCTCCAGTTATGACAATCAAAGAAGTAGTATGTTCCTCTCTCGTAGGTGTTGGTCTTTAGCGTGGGCTCCATGCCAGGTGCTCTTGTGATCCAAACCCTTTCCTCTTTATGGTACCGCCAGTCCCGGTTGAAGCTGCAAACAACAAAATGTTCCATTTAACCTCTCAACTTCCACCCGTGGTTGGTTATCAGCAAAAAGAGTCCTAGAATGACGTAATCTGCAGGACGTACAGCTCAACAGCAGCGAGGAGTTGTAGGAGGTCTCCTCCGTTCATGTAGTAGAGGTAAAACAGCAGGTCTTCACCGTATCGTCCCAGTTTTATTGCAGCCAGCTGTACAGAGTACAGAGTAGGTTAGCAGCATCCACATACTACAATTTCAATGAGGTTTTAGTCAAGTGTTTATCACCTCACCTTGTCCCTTATGTGAATGTTGGTTAAGTACTCTGAGGGAACATGGAAGTCTAAAAAAACAATTGCATTTATTACTGAAGAGCCTAAATGAATTGGTCATGTCTACAGGTTAAGTCAAATGAACTCTTACCAATGTCTTGTGGTCGACATGGAGCTGAAGCCCAGGGAGATGCAAACTTAGGATACAGATTCCTACAAACCGAAATAAAATTAATGTGTGTACAAAAAGAGAACATTGACTAGACATCAGTATCTGGCACAAGAAAGTATCTTACTCCGGAGAGTTGAGGTTGAGTCCTAGCGTTGTTAGGTCACTTCCTAAAGCCAGGTGAACCATCCCAGGGTCCGTCTCAGCTGCCCGGATGAATGTCAGGAGTCCAATCATTCCAAACTGATCTGTCACCATTCCTAAGGGAATGTTTGTTACCTTGCCTATAAAAGATGTGAATAAATGTCAAGTTTGATTGAGTGTGTCCAATGGACAGGGTTGCTACATCTTTTGATCAATTAATTTCCATGAATTTTCCAGCAGATGCAGATTTTTACTTTTTTTTTTTTTGTAAGCAAAGAGCAAATTCTAGTCAGGGTTATTATAGTTAACTAAAACCATAAAACAGTTTATGTTACTTGAAATAAAATAAACTAACTGAAATAATAAAAAACAAAACTTACACTTGTTTTATTTCAGCTATATTTTATTTCACACTTTCATTTAGTTTATCTTGATGTACTAAGATAACTAAAACTGAAATAAAATGAATGAAAGAATACATATGAAACTATTAAAAATAAAAAATAAAAAAATTCCTAATACTTTAACTACAATAAAAAAAACTCAAAATATTAAAATTAAAAATGTTAATAAAAATATAGCTTCCCAATAATAAACAAATAACCCTGTTTCTAGTCAGATTAAATATTCAGAATTCTACTGTAGTTAGCTACAAGTATATATATATTTTTTTTATTTTTTTTTGTATATTATTGTACATATATTACAGGCCTGTATACAGGTGCATCTCAATAAATTAGAATGTCGTGGAAAAGTTAATTTATTTCAGTAATTCAACTCAATTGTTTTCACAATATAAACTATTTTTATGATGTATTGAGTTATTTAAATTTTACAATTTATTAACATTTAAATTTATATCAATGTATATATTTTCATTTTTTAATAAAATGACAAATGTTGTAAATCTTTTTTTATTTATAATAAAAATGTCCATTATTTAATCATGATTTAAGATGTTAATGACTGCTATTACTTCTCAGGGGCTTGGAATTATTATTATTAAATATTTTTAAATACACCCTGAACTGGGAACCCTGCCTGTTGCATCGAAACCTTCTAAAACAGATTCTTGAAGAAAATACTTGCACTTGATTTGTTTTATTCAACACTCATGTTTTCAAGCTCGGGACACTTTGGCAGTTGTCTGAAATACACCACTGTATTTCAGACAACTGCCAAAGTGTCTGAAAATGTTAATAAATTGCATGTTGCTAGAGAGCCTCACCATCAGGCAACACCTGGATCCCCTTCTTTTGCTGGTTGTTATTCTGTGCTGATGATGTCTTGTCGCCAGGAAACTTGGGTCCATCTGCACTTGAGCTGCCCTTTCCTGAAGAGTTCAAGCTCTGTGGAGACAGCAGAGGCCACAACAATCAGTTAAAGCTCAAGCAATCACAGTCACAGCACTGGACGGCATCACTTAAATTTTAATAGCCACGCATCCTTACCCATCCTGCAAAACAATGACATGTTATTTATGCAATCTCTCCCTGAAGCTTATGAAAGATCAAATTCAGGCAATACTGACTGATTTGCTTTCATCCGTGCTCAATGTCGGGTCCTTGTAGTTGGGCCCGGGCAGGGCTGGGAAGTCTTCGTTGTGAATGGAAAAGTCCTGCGACTGTTCGTTCGATGGCTTTGTGACCATTCCAACTATGGAGAGATGCATTTTAATAAAGATTTGAGGGTTATTGTGAGGAAATAAAAATAAAACCCCTAACCTTGTCATGCATTCACAACACATCATCCATTGAAGGAGAAGCGAGGGTTTCGGTTTCAGCTAAGTAATGGGACTGTGTAAAATGAACTCGTACCATAGGGTGCCCTTCCAGCCAGCGGATTATGCAACGGTGTTGGGTTGCCGTTTCCCTCCCTCCGACTTCTGTCTGCAAGTGCTGGGAATTCTGAGAGGTCTATTCCTGTTACATTTTCACTCCCATCTGCCACGATAGCAGAAAGAATAATATGAGAATGAGCCATTTTATTTCCAGAGCACAATTTAAGCGTCACGGTTCCTGACATGGTGTTTCATCACGGAGCACGCTCCATACAGCACTCACCTGTCCCGTTGAAGATGTTATTGGATAAGGAGTTCATGCCAAACCCCTGGCTCCGGCCCATTCCAAATCCTGACATACTACAACGACACACATGAGGATTTGACCCTTTTGTTAAGGTCAGTCTTAATCAGTCTTGATTGGCCTTATCTTGGCCTAAGGTGAAAGTTAATTAAAATACACATATATATGTATTTAAGATTATGAGAAGCCACTTTTTAGCATCATCTTTCTGCAATAAACAAAAGAAGTGTATTGATGACAGGAGCTTTCAATGTACATAACCATAATGTTGCCCAAAAAAGCCTTATAAAATATAAAATTTCACATTACGCATTTTAAAATATATTCAAACAGAAAACAAAAATATTAAAAATCTGCCACTACAGTTTAGAGTTTGGGGTTGATACTTTCTTTCCTTTTCGTTTTTAATCACATACATGCATTTTAATGCTTTGCAAACTTACACATTTGGTTTTCTATGACATTTGTTGCTGACACAGAATGACTTGTGATAGGTAGTCTTGGTTGTATCATAATGGGCTGAATATACAAACCAATCAGTATGTATTTATTTTTTTTAATGTTTTATTTTTGTCTTTGAGTTTCCTGTATAATTATAATAATAAGGGATGTACAACATCCATGGTTCAATATGCGCTTGTGAATTCGGTTTTGCGTTTTAATCATTTCTGTGCGTTTTATTTCACTTCGAATTGACTCTGTTTGTGTGGGACCATCAGTCTACGAGCTGAGATGAGGAAACTCCTTGCTGCTTGTAAAGTGCATTTGAAAAAGCAACACAGCCAAACATCTTCAGTTGTAATGACTTGTAATGAGAAGTGTTTCTAAACCTGTTGTCCAACAAAAGAGAACATTATAACATTTTATAATGTTTTTACTCCACAACATCAGTTGAGTGTTTGAATTAGCTCCCTTTTGTGATCTGATGTGGCTTCTCATCACAGAATGAGGCAGAAAATATATTTATACTGTAAAAAAGGCTATGTCGATTAGTTATAAATATACTTAATTATTATGAAAATACCCAAGGTGGCTTGAAGAACACAGATAAACTATACATTGTCGCAGGATAGTGTTTATTGTCTTCATGTCTCATCATTCAAAATGTTTCTATTTTCTTTTTAATTTAGTTACAGTGGCTATGTTTACATGCGCACTTTTTGCTTCAATCGGACTGAATTCATTACGATTTATGAATCTGAATGTAGTGTTTACATGAACGCTAAATAAAGTGATCGGGTTGATGTGCGCGTTTATATGTCACAAGCTTCAAATCGGAATTGTTTTTTTTTTTTACATGCGCGCACTGCACAAAAATAGAGTTTCTCACTGTTTGCACATAATAACCACTCTCCTACACGGTTTCTTTATTTGTTTTAAACAGCAGAATTAATATTTATCCATTTCTCAAACAGATCGATTAAGGTGTTTACATGAAGGCTTTTCAGTCCAATTGAGCAGTCAATCCGACTACAAACAGATCATTTGGATGCATGTAAATGTAGTCACTGATGGCTGAATGCCTATGTCCATATTAAGGATTTCTTGGAGCATCATAAGTTCTATTACTTCTATTACTATTACTTAGTTTCTGTGTGAGGGTGCCCTCTGGCTTCCAGTATGAATGAAACAGACATTACATGTGTTTATAGCACTCAATAATGGCCAATTCAATCTATTTTGGGTAAAAATAGGAAAAATAATACTTATCTCAAAAGAAATTTGAAGTAGACATATGGCAATCCATGTTCCGTTTTTAAAATTTGTTTTAAAGGTGACATATCATGAAAATCTGACTTTTTCTGTGTTTAAATCTCAAAAGAAATTTGAAGTAGACATATGGCAATCCATGTTCCGTTTTTAAAAATTTGTTTTAAAGGTGACATATCATGAAAATCTGACTTTTTCTGTGTTTAAGTGCTATCTACCAACCCAGAAAACATGAAAAAGGACAACCCAGTAACTTTGTTTTGGGAAGCCTTTATCTGCAAGCCTCTGAAAAAATGAGTGTGTCAGATTTCACTCCCTCTGTGACGTGGTAAGGGGATCTTATTATAATATTACGCCGCTTAATCTGTACGTTTCCTCCCATGGCACAGTCACTGTGTTTTCGCAAGCGACAACGGTGTACCAGTTCTAACGTCATGGCGAAGGTTTGAGCTAAGCATGCTAACTTTTCTGTCTTTGACTGCACTGATGAGCACAGAACACTATTAAGAGTCCCAGCCTCAGAGGAGACAAGAGAGCAGTGGATTTATTGATTTATTTACTGTATATTGCTGCTGCCACACAGATCTAATATAAACATGCGATTTCTTTCCCAGCCGTTTACCTTCACAGACACAGACTTCACAGTTTTTGTAACTCATGTGCGTTTTTAACATAAACTTGGGTATTTGACAGTTTAAGCACAAGAAGAGAACTTAGTTTAGTACTCGCATACCATGTGACAGCAGCTTTCTGTGCGCGTGCTTCAGACGTGTGTGCTCAGAAAACCGTTTATCAGACGTTGAAACTAATATGGTTTCAAATGCATGATTTCAGCATGACAGACATGATCATCAAAACCAAACAAATGTTTTTAGCAGAGTATCTGAGGTACGAGCTGTAAAGGCACAGCTCTATTCTGGAAAAGGGGGCGGGGAGCAGCAGCAGCTCATTTGCATTTACAGAGACATGCACTAAAACAGCGTGTTTCTGCTTCCACTCAAAATAGGCATTTTCAAAATTATATAAGAAATGATTTGTGGGGTATTTTGAGCTAAAACTCAAACAAACTCACTCGCAGACACCAGAGACTTACTGTATATTACATATTGTAAAAAGAGTCTCCTTTAAAAAAGTGCATTTTAAATCACAAAAAACACTCCAAGCCAAGCCGAACCGAAAACCGTGGTAAAAAAAAAAAAAGAGTTATGTATTGAACCGTGGGATAACTGTATTGTTGCATCCCTAATAATAATAGCACAATTTTCTGCAAATAAAAACTGTGATAAATTTTAAAATACATAAAAGTATACATTTTAAATTAGATATGAAAATAAATTATATATTTTATTATATTATATTATTTAAAATATTTTATAATAGAATCTCTTTTCTCAACAGTAAGGATTGAGGGTTGGGCAATTCGTTTTTTTACTAGGCCAACCCTCAATCCTTACTGTTGAGCCAAAACATTCTATTATTGTGGCAAATGAAAGCACTTTACATTACAATTCACAACTTCAGAAGTCACTTTATAATTTGTTTCATTCCCATATCATTGAGCACAATCTGACCACTGTCCTGGCACTAGTAATTCTGTACAGGTAAGTTTAAGTTCTTTTTAAATAATACACCTGTTCAATAGACAGTCCTAAAAAGCCTTACCAAAGCAAGTTGTTTGCTATCGCTATCTCTCGTGTAAGCATTCTTACCTGTTGATGGTGAATGGCTGGCGTGCTGGCTGCTGCTTGGGCATGCAGATAATGCTGGGAGAGCTGCGGTTAGGGCTACCCAGGCCAGAGCTGCCCATGCTGTTGGTCCTGCCGCTCATGCCCATGCCCTGCCCTACCTGCGAACTCATCATGTTCCTGGAGTTCATAGGCAGGATGCCCCTGCAGAACACCAGCAAGGCCGGGATTTAACAGATCACGTCATAAATCAACATAAATCAAGCAGAGGAGATGGCGTACCTGTTCGGCGAAGATGGTGTGTGGAGGGACATTGTTGGGACGCCTGTTGTTGGGGTGCTATGGCTCGGTAACTGAGTGCCTTGTGTTAAACTCCGGTTCAATTGAGGGTTGTTGTTGCTCATGCCCCTTATTGAGAAACCTAGTGCACCTACAAAATGAGTCGGGAAAGAAACAATGATCAATTGGTGCTCAGAATCAGAGTACATGGTGCTTCTATTAGCATCACAATGATTTTTCAGTGCTATAAGCCATACTGAAGACTTGTACTCACTTTGCGGACCATACAAACTCGCACCAAGCTGTGACAATTGACCTGACGATGACGGCGAGGGAGATGACAGCATCTGAAAACCGAGAGAAGTTAGAAAATCTCATTTGAATTTGCATGTTTTTAACATTACGTGCCAACAAATTATACAGAAATTAGAAACATATTTATATTTACATATACATATTTACATACACACTGACACTACAGTTCAAAAGTTTGTGGTCGGTAAGAGCTTTTCATGTTTTTGAAAGAAGGCTTTTATGCTCATTATGCTTTTATGTCAGCATTTATTTGATCAAAAATACAGTACTATTATTACAATTTAAAAGAAACATTTTCTATTTGAATATATTTTAAAGTGTAGTTTTTTCCTGAGATGGCAAAGCTAAATTTTCTTCATTGTCACATGATCCTTCAGAAATCATTCTAATAAGCCGCTTTGCTGCTCAAGAAGCACTTCTTATTTTTTATAAATCTTGAAAAGAGTTGTGCTGCTTAATATTTTCATAGAAACTGTGATACAATTTTTTCAGGATTATTTTATGAACAGAATGTTTAAAAGAACAGCATTTATTTGAAATAATCTTTTGTAACCTTATAAAGGTCTTTACTGACAGTTTGGATCAATTTAATGAATTCTTGCTGAATACAAATATTAAAATCAATTTACTTACTGACAGATGAAAGACGCTTTTTTTTTTTTCATCTGTGTATTTTATCACTGTAATGCTGCCATTTAGAATGACAAGAAATGCAGTTTGTCAAAACTTGCAGTTCAGTTCTCCTCATAAAACGGATAAAGTGTAGTGTTTTCAGTACACAAAATGCCATCTGCACCAATCTGTACCATCAACATTCATAATTACGTCATAATTTGTTTCCACCATGATTCCTGGGCACGCTCCCAACTTCAAGAGTCTGGAAATTATGACTTTATGCTGGGGTTCATGTGTGCTCAACTCATAAATATCATCATAAATATGACCATTCTGACTTGACTTCACTTGAATGCATTAAAAATAGCCTCAGTAATGTAATTATCAGAAATGTTTAGAATCATATATGTTTATGAAGGTATTATGAAGGTATTACTTGAGTCACTTAGATTATTAAGTTAATAAATTATTTTGGCAAAAAAAGGTAATTAATTTTTATTTTGACAAATGTGTTAAAAATATAAATATTTAAAATAAATTTTTTGATATACACTATCAGTCAAATGTTTTTGAACAGTAAGATTTTTAATGTTTTTTAAAGAATTCTCTTCTGCTCACCAAGCCTGCATTTATTTGACCCAAAATACATAGCAGGAAAATTTAGAGGAACTCTTTAAAAAAACATTAAAAATATTACTGTTCAAAAACGTTTGACTGGTAGCATATCTGTTTAAAATATATTTCTTGTTGGTCAGGTCAGTGAAGATATTGACAGTGCAAGTGAAATATATAATATTAAGCTAATAATAATTTAAAGGGGTCATATGATGCGATTTCATTTTTTCCTTTCTCTTTAGAATAATGTACAGTATGTGGAAAATAATGTGTTTTTTTAACTTTAAACCGCATAAACACATTTCATTACACCAAATACACAAAATAATGTTCTTTTTAGCAGCATCATATGACCCCTTTAATATTTCATCATTCTATCAGACCTCCAGCCAACAAAAGGACTTGACACAATGAACATAACCATCAGAATGAACTGGTATTAACGTACGTCTTTCTCCGATCGATGCGGGAACATTGACGTCTGGCCATAGTATATGCTCTCATCAGGGTAGTCACTTTCGACCCCCTCCCCAAACTTCTTTCTCGTTGCACTGAACATTCCGTTTGTCACCTACAGAAGAGAGGAGACAGTTAAAACCAAGATATTTAATTCCTGAACCAAAATCATACCAGATTATCTTTCTGCACGTCTAGTGGACATATCATTAACAAGTGCTTCTATACAGCACAACTGAGAACTTGTAATAAATAATGAATTACCACTGCAGAACAAGACCCAAGACTGTATATGTTGATTTAAGTGCATTATAAAAAGGTACAGGCTATTTTGTCAACTCACTTTACAACTAAATCATACAATTAGGAGGTGCAAGATTAAACTTAAATGTACTTTAGCGGACAGTCTAATGCTATAAGAACATTTAGACCTACTATGGCGGTACATAATTTATTAATCTTTTCAAAACAAAGCAGATATTCGCCGTATGGTTGGAAAACAAATAAATATCACTTTCCAAACTGACACCTGACAACAAACACAGAAACAGCTTAATTCACTGGCTAAATCCATGAAAAACATCAATTACTAGCCAGATACTTAAACATACTCACATTTCCATGTACCGCAACATTATTAATAATATTAAAACTGATTCCTACATGTTGTGATGTTACGAACACAATCACAGAGAGAAATAAATAAAATGAATAATCGCATGTCGCGAAATGTTCTCATTTATATAAGCTAGTTAGCTGTCTCGTTAGCTGTTAAGCTGCTAACTACAAATAAGACATTTTCGGCATAAATAAAGATTTTAATGGAAACCAAAACACCCTGGACCATTAAATCTATATTAGTCGTGGTGCTTTAGTTTTATAACAGATGACTAGACGTGCATAATACATGTATCTATCTGTTTAAATTGTTTAGGCCTGTGTTTCGGCTGTCTGTTTTTGTTAGCGCTCAGCGCTAGTCGGCTAACTCTGGCCTCGAGCAAAAACAGAAACCAGTAAAGCCGTGCAAACGTGTCAGTGCATTCATTCAGCTACTAAATATCTGCTTGGATATGCGCACAAAGCTGCAAATGTTCATTTGGCCCTGTATATGCGATGCAAACCCTGTTGTGCAATGTATTTTTGGGTGAAAAAGGAATTGACTAACCGCATTAATTTACCCTCTCCTCGCAGATCCAAGATGGCTGTGTTTCCTACAGGCGAGAATGCTGGGGCAATAGCCTTTACCCTCTGACCCCTTAACCTTCCGTTTATTTCATACTAGACTGAAAATTGTGCTGGACACTGTCTGCTGGATATTAGACGCTCTACAGGACACTTGTGAGATTTTTATGATGTTACAATGGGATGAAACAGTTAGACTGTAGTCACTCTTTTTATACCTGAAACATCAATCTGCCATTTAACAAACTCTGCTAAGAGTACAGATTACCTTATAATCATTTAGAATACTTATAATGTATATTTTACATCTGCAGCCAAATGCAGGTAACACGTTGATTAAGAATTCATAATTTGAGCTGTCTGACACAAAGGGTGTTTAAGATTAAGTCTATAAGGTCTGTTTCATGTCAGCAGCTTGTAAATAACGAATAACGTATATTTATAAAGAGATTATTGTGAAAATATGTGCAAATCCTACATCACATTAAAGGGGTTTCCTTAAATAATGTTAACCTGACATTATTTTACATGATTTTAGCTTACTATGTAACATAAATGCTAGTAGCATTTCAGTTCTGATCTTTAGCAGCGGAAAGTATAGTCAAAATACATTATAATCCTTTTTTTTTTTTCATAGTGTTCTGTAAAATATGCTTTTATGTAACAACATACAAATCTAGAGTGAACTATAGCTATTGTTTGCAGGAAGACATCTGTCACTTCCACACGCAGTAAAAGGCTCACAAATACATTCCATTCAGTAAATCTGCCTGAATCCAGAAGATTTAAGCTATTCATGGCTAAAGTTTGAAGTTTTGCTTCCTTTCTGCGTAGATTAATTATCATTTGGATGTAAACGTGATCTTTCTCATCATCTAAACTTTATTTCATAATGATCAAGTTTGTTCTGCTGAGAACGCAACGCTCACTGTTAAATGATGAGGCAAGCAAAACCTGTAGGACTGAAACTCTTACATTGTACATTTCACATCTGCAGCCAAGTGCAGGTGAAAAAATCTTATATTTGTGCAAGAATGCTTACATGGGTGCAAGAATGATTACAAATTGTCAAATCAGTTTTTTATATATATTTAAATACATCCCCGTCAACCACTTAGAACAGTCTAAAAGAAGTGGTTAAATAGTCCATGGAGGATTATGTTGAAAGTTTACACTTTAAATCACATTTTGTTGTGAACTTTTAACTGGCGTAATCCCATTTCTCACTTTCCGTCTGTTCCCTCCACTGTGAAGTGGTACTCAGGCCCTTCAGACAGCACTTGAGGGTTATCAATCATAGTCTAAATCACTGGAGACCTTTGATAGACCACTAAATAGCTAAGCCTTGAGTTATGAGAAGAATGACTGGGAGTGCAATATCATCCAGTGTTGCATTTACTCACAGAGGTGATTTACTACTTTTGGATTAAGGATCAACATTAATTTTTGATAGGGAGGAAAATTATATCTTAAGTGTAGAAAACACTCATAAAACAATTTTGGGCAAGTCTGGTCTGATCTCAAAGGCGAACCTATTAAAATCTAATAAATGAAGTAATAGTAAAAAGGTAAATAACATAAACCTTATTTTTTATTTTGTCTGGATCTTTTAATTTATTAAAAATACATTTAAATGGATTTCATACATACAATGCCTTTTATAACGCTCATGTTTTTCATTTAATGTTTTTTAATGTTTATTTAAGCCTCATTAAAATGATTAAATTCTGTAGAATAATTGAAATGCATATAGAATATATATATATATTATAAGAGAAATATATATATATATATATATTAACTTTCACTTCCATTCAGTAAATCTGCCTGAATCCAGAAGATTTAAGCTATTCATGGCTAAAGTTTGAAGTTTTGCTTCCTTTCTGCGTAGATTAATTATCATTTGGATGTAAACGTGATCTTTCTCATCATCTAAACTTTATTTCATAATGATCAAGTTTGTTCTGCTGAGAACGCAACGCTCACTGTTAAATGATGAGGCAAGCAAAACCTGTAGGACTGAAACTCTTACATTGTACATTTCACATCTGCAGCCAAGTGCAGGTGAAAAAATCTTATATTTGTGCAAGAATGCTTACATGGGTGCAAGAATGATTACAAATTGTCAAATCAGTTTTTTTATGTATATTTAAATACATCCCCGTCAACCACTTAGAACAGCCTAAAAGAAGTGGTTAAATAGTTCATGGAGGATTATGTTGAAAGTTTACACTTTAAATCACATTTTGTTGTGAACTTTTAACTGGCGTAATCCCATTTCTCACTTTCCGTCTGTTCCCTCCACTGTGAAGTGGTACTCAGGCCCTTCAGACAGCACTTGAGGGTTCTCAATCATAGTCTAAATCACTGGAGACCTTTGATAGACCACTAAATAGCTAAGCCTTGAGTTATGAGAAGAATGACTGGGAGTGCAATATCATCCAGTGTTGCATTTACTCACAGAGGTGATTTACTACTTTTGGATTAAGGATCAACATTAATTTTTGATAGGGAGGAAAATTATATCTTAAGTGTAGAAAACACTCATAAAACAATTTTGGGCAAGTCTGGTCTGATCTCAAAGGCGAACCTATTAAAATCTAATAAATGAAGTAATAGTAAAAAGGTAAATAACATAAACCTTATTTTTTATTTTGTCTGGATCTTTTAATTTATTAAAAATACATTTAAATGGATTTCATACATACAATGCCTTTTATAACGCTCATGTTTTTCATTTAATGTTTTTTAATGTTTATTTAAGCCTCATTAAAATGATTAAATTCTGTAGAATAATTGAAATGCATATAGAATATATATATCCCTATATACTCTTAAACATTCTAAAACCAAATACTGTGGTATGCCATGTGATATGGACAGCCTCTGTTGGTTGTCCATAACTGGGCAAGTCTTATCTTTGGGGTGGTGCACTCAAGTGGTCTCTGTTATGTAGAGGGTCCTGACTGAGATAAGCGCTTAAATAGAAGGTCTCAGCTGACCCTCAAATTCCTTAATCACACGACAACTTTAGGCTTATCACAGTTCCCGGTCAGCTCCACCTTCCAGCGATGGAAGAAATCATTTATCCGGAATGGGGAGGAGCATGTGGGATGTCATCTCTGGTGCTCTCTGCAACTGGCAGGGCAGAGGTGTCAGCAGAACACAGGAGCATGAAACACCACACTGCCGCCCATCGTCTCATACCTTGTGACAAAAAAGCTTGATGGTAAATGAAGATCTACGTTTTCGGCAACCTGGTAAGACGAAAGGAACATTCAAGTTTTTATCTTGTCTTTTCATTGTGCCATTCATAAGACTGGTCTACACTTTTAAAAATACGGGTTCTTTATTGGCATTTATGGTTCCGTGAAGAACCTTCAACATCCATGGAATCTTTCCATTCCACAAAAGGTTCTTTATAGTGGAAAAAAGTTCTTTAGATTTTTATGTTCTTCACACTAAGAAATAAAGGTTCTATTAAGAACTGGTCACTGGAATGTTCTTCGGAGAAGCAAAATGTTTTGATCAATGGGATTGCTGTGAAAACCTCCTTTTGGAGTCTGTACACTCTTAAAAATAAAGGTGCCTAAAAGGTTCTTCACAGCGATGCCATAGAAGAACCATTTTCGGTTCCCCAAAGAACCATTCAGTCAAAGGTTCTTTAAAGAACCATCTCTTTCTTCCCTTTTTGGTTCTTTATAGTGGAAAAAAGTTCTTTAGATTTTTATGTTCTTCACACTAAGAAAAAAAGGTTCTATTAAGAACTGGTCACTGGAATGTTCTTCGGAGAAGCAAAATGTTTTTATCGATGGGATTGCTGTGAAAACCTCCTTTTGGAGTCTGTACACTCTTAAAAATAAAGGTGCTTAAAAGGTTCTTCACAGCGATGCCATAGAAGAACCATTTTCGGTTCCCCAAAGAACCATTCAGTCAAAGGTTCTTTAAAGAACCATCTCTTTCTTCCCTTTTTATAATCTGAAGAACCTTCTTTCTTTGTGAAACAGAAAGGTTCTTCAGATGTTAAATGTTCTTTATGGAACCATTTAGACAAAAAAGGTTCTTCTATGGCATCGTGAAGCACCTTTATTTTTAAGATTGTACCCTTATTTTGTTTCTGAAGATACCATGAATGTGGACCGAGAAGATGGGAAATGTTGTGCGAGGTGCTGTCGCCTTCGTGCCCTCCGAGAGATGTCAACGTTTCTTAGTAGGCGACTTGAAGGAGATGCCCCTTGATCGTACTCTAGACCTGAGTAGCCGGCAGTTACGTCGCCTTCCAGTCAGAGCTTCTGCCTTCGATGAACTGGTCAAACTCTACCTGAGCGACAACCACCTGAGCAACCTGCCGCCAGAACTGAGAAACCTGCAAAAGCTCCAGCTTCTAGCCTTGGACTTCAACTGTTTCGAGGAGCTTCCTCTGGTCGTATGCAGCCTCGTTCAGCTAAACATCCTCTATCTCGGTAATAACCGACTGTACAGGCTGCCGAAGGAACTGCGGCAACTCACCGAGCTTAAAACCTTGTGGCTGGAGACCAACTGCTTCACCAAGTTCCCTCGAGTAATATGTGAGCTTCCCAACATCAAGACCCTGCATTTGGGATACAACCAGCTACGTAGCTTACCGACCGAGCTTGAGCGACTGGAGGAGCTACGCAGCATCTGGCTAGCGGGGAACTTGCTAAATGATTTTCCTCCCGTGCTGCTGAAGATGCATTATTTGGAGGTGATCGATGTGGACCGTAATCACATTCGCCAGTTTCCGTCGCTCGCCTGCTTGAGAGGCTTGAAGCTCGTCATCTATGACCACAATCCTTGTGTTAATGCGCCAATGGTGGCCGACGGTGTGAGACGGGTAGGCCGCTGGGCCGACAACTCTGATGATGAGGAGGATGAAGGTGACGGAAAGGTTGCCAAAGCAGGTGTGAAGGCACAGGGATCACTGGAAGAGAACGAGTGAAGAAGATCAGTGAGGAACCATAGATCAAGCAGCTATAAAGAGCATGATAATATTTATGAGTTTTTGAAACTGCAGAAGGCGGCTGATGAAATACTG